GAGCAGCGCGGCGACACGGGCCGCACCGGGGCTCCTTCCTGGAATTCATAGACACAAGTCCACTAAAGGGAGAGGCAGAGAAAGGGACACTGAAAGAGAAGTAAAGCACGGCAAACACACATTCCCTCCCCCTGCACCTCTACGGGCAACTCATGTGAACAGGTGGGACATGCTCCTGCTGGCCTGCTCCCGCTGCCTCAGCATCTCCCTCCCTCCCTGTCACCACTCCCTGTCAGCACTGAAACTGCTGTTCTGATTAAACGGGTGCCAGATTTAATCTTTCCAATCTAGGTTTCATCTGCAGAGAGCAAAGCCTTTCTCAGCTTGACCAGTGGCAATATGTCAGCATGGCCTTTCTCAGCTAACCAACTATTAATAAAGCTCTCCACATTAAAGCTCTCCACATAATTCTTTGGCCAGGCACCTGCTCTAATTTAGTAAATATTTAAATGAAGTCTATAAAGTCAGATTCACCTGACTGTACCTCAGAGCAGATCACTGGCATTTTATGCCTTTGACTTCAAAAGGAATGGGATCTTGAAGCAAGTGGGTAACAGACTTTTGAAGGAAGGTTACGAACAGCTCTGCAAGCCAGTTTGTTATTTGTGAGGCACATTAAGGATCCCTGTCTGTCATCTCATTATTTAATATCAGAACAAATGTAAAAAAAAACCAATGACAAAGTTTATATTGTGTTGATTCTACTTCAGCCCCAAGACAAGCACTCCTAGCTGTGTTTCATGCATCCTTCTGAAATAACCACAACAGGAAAAGTACCAATGAGTATTAATAAAACAGAATAAGGCAGACTCTAGGACTAAGAGAAATTATAACTCAATCACCAGTACCAACTGATCCAATGTAACATTTGCATGTTACAAAAATTCTGTGTTGTACATCAGTTTGATTGTTGCAGAGCCAGCATTAAAATTCATAACCAACCTGCTAAGCTTCCACTTGGTCCTCTACAGTTGTGTAAAGGGTTACCTTTACAAAGAGTGACTTTCTTCAACAACAGCAAAAAAACCCAAATAAATGCACAGAGACAGAAAACAATCCCAGCAAAACCAAATGAACCTCAATTTACATCAGCAATCAAAGTAACTAAAACATTTTATTACTGGTCCAGTAATATTTATATATTATATACATATTTATTATTGCAAATTAGAGGAGCAGAATCTGCAGCCTGCAGCTGAACTGCAGCTGATCTCACGACTTCCTGCATCAAGGAGAAGGCCTGAAGCAGGTTCTAGCAGGAAGATCATTTAAGAAAAAACCCAAAAGCACATATTTGGAAGAAGAGCTCGAGGCAGTGCGTTACCTCCTGGTCGTCTGTGTTGCTGGAGCAGCGCAGCAGCGTGGCCCAGCCCTTGGGGTGTAGCTGCAGGGATGTGATGCAGTTACCACGGTCTCTCTCTCCAGGAACCTCTGGTGTTAACACCTCCAGGCTATTCCTGGGTGATCCCCCTGCAAGGGAATTACCTGTGAGTCGCAGTGAAACAGCACACAGGGACCTCCAGCTCTCCCACCAGTCCTGCTGCTCACATGGGGACACAGAGACTCAGAGGGTCACAGGAACCCTGAGCCAGCACCCATGGGCTCAGGCTCCACTTCAAACAGCTCCTTTTGGTGAAACTGGGGTGCCAAGACCTGCACTGAACCCACCACACTGACAGCTACACAAACCTTCCACACTCGTGCTCCTCACTGGTATTACAGCAAAATCTAACCAGTGAGGTTTTTATAAGATTTGCTGATTCTCAGACTTGTATGATGTGCTCTCCAAATTCCTCCCAACACTTGCTCAGTTTGCAGCTTTTCTCCCTTCTTCCCCTCACTCCCAGGTAAATCACTCCCTGGCATCCAGGTAAGCCTCCCCTCACCAGTATGCTTCAGCATCTCACAACCCCAATAGCTAAAAATTAACATTACATTCTTTCAAATGACAAGGGATGCACAAAGTATTCACCCATTTGCCAAATCCATGCTGATTCTCTGGATTTCTCCCTGAAAGAACATTCACACAAACTTTGTGCATGGAAAAACAAAAGGGAGCACCTCCATGAAACAACAACATACTAACATAAAATACAGATCTTGCTACTTTTACCAGATTTCTCAGATATAAAACCTGATTAGATCCCCAGGCTTTGGTGTGCAATGAGATTTTATTGGTTTAGTACAAGTCTCAGCAGCACCATCCTTAAAAAACCACAGGACAGTTCTTCACTACTGCCCCCTGGCCTCTTCTGGATACAGCAAATCAAAGTCCAGGGTTTCTTTTCATTAATCTCTTTGTAAAGGGATCTGTTCCTACCTTCTCTCTGCGAGGGCCGTGACAGGGTTTTCTCAGAGGGCGGCCCTGAGCTGTTCTGGTGGCAGGGTGAGCCCACAACTCGAGGGCCAGAGGAGCCTGACGACGTTATATCTGCAAACACACGCACACAGGTGAGCCCACAGGTGTGCCAGCACAGGTGGGCTGCTGCCCAGGAGCAGCACAGGCCCTGCCCTGCACTCACCTGAGCTCGACGTGGTCCTCCTGGCCCGTAAAATGGGGTAGCTGCCAACCTCTAAAGACTTGTTTAGGTCAAGGTCGTGCAAAATCAGAAGGTAGCCAGAGGAGGTGGAGATGAGCATTTTGGAACAGTCTGGTGTCAGCCTCATCCGCATCAGAAAACGGGTGTGGAAAAACTTCTTGTGAGGGCATCCATCCTCTGTGCACCTGGACAGCACGACAAGCACAGCAGGGATGTGGTCAGCTGCAGCTCCAGGCCCTGACTGTGTCCACAAGGGCCCAGCATGTGCCAGCATCATTCATTTTGTTCACCCCAAAACTGTTTTTTAAAGCACTGTCTTTATCCTACTTTTTAATGGAATGGGTGAAGTCACATCTTCCCACAACTACAGCAATGAGGACAAAACCTCCTCTGGAAGGAAGAACTACGTTCTGGCATGTGGCAAGAGAAGCTCTTTTCTAGCCATTTACTATTGCCAGAGAGGCAATGCAAGCTCTTTGTGAGAAATGCATATTTTA